GCAGAGGAAGGGATCTATACTTTCTCAAAGACTACAGCAAGCAACAAAAATGGATCTACTGGCTGAAAGGGAAGCGTTTCTATGGAAACCTGTTTGGCACAGAAAAAAAGCCAGAATTAGACTGAAAAAGAAACTTAAATCTGTGTAATGGATTAAAAGACAATGTTGGTTTTATGGACTGTTTCAAGGATCACGATTTAGAGTTGGAAGTAAGAAAAATGCAGTTATTTACATGTGTGTTTAAGTTAGCTAGATGATTTTTTTTCTCTCTTTTTTTTCTTTTTTCTTTTTTTGATTTAGGGAAACTTATTTGGCACAGAAACAAGAAAGTTAAGATTGGACTGAAAAAAAGAAACTTAAAATTGTGTATTGGATTTAAAGGTAATGTTGGCTTTATGGATTGTATTAAGAATAAAAAATATATATCTACATATATATATATATATTTAATTAGATTAAGAATGTATTTTTTTGAATAATAGATTGATTTTAATGGAAATTATGTACTGGAATTGAAAAAATGTTGAATTTTTAGAGTGGGATTTCGAAGTGCTTAAATTAATTAGATGTTTTTCCCCCGTATATTAGTATAGATCTGATAAGGTATGATAATCAACTAGATGGAAGTTGAAGTTTGTATAATGAATTGATATGAATTAAGGTCTAACATTGTTTTTTTTAACTAAGTTAGTTAATACTGGAAGAATAAATGAGATTGGTGATGAGGAATGAGGAATGAGAGAGATTAAGAGTTTGAACATATCTGGAAGAGATATTTGAAATGATAATTTGTTGATGTAAAACTATATTTGATTATGGTAATTGTAAATTGATAAAGTTGTAAAACAGGTTTAGTAGTAATAGAAATTTAATTTAGAAATGAAATATATTAAATGTACTATGTTATTTGAGGGAAATAGAGAGATGATAGTGAATGTATCAAGTTGAGCTGTTTATCTATGTTTTTATTTTGGAATGTCTGTTTACCCAAACACCACGGTGTGTCTTAAGTACTTTTTGTTAAAATTAAAAAATCAATAAAATATATTTTAAAAAAAATAAAACAGGTCAGGACCATATTACACCAGCAGAAAACAGGACAGAGATTTAGGGGAGAGTTAGAGAATGATTTCTATAATATGCCTATTTTAAATAATGTTTCAGTGTTTCCTATCCTATGGACTATGTTGGCCAGACCATCTACAGATTCCAGGATATTGGCCAATCTTTTCCATCACAAAATGGCAGGATAAATGGCATTTATCATTTGGTTATCATCTTCAAATAATGTAGGTATTGTGTTCAGAGAGATCTCAGGAGGCCAGGAAAAAAAAAAGACTTAGAGGGCATCCATCTAAGGGAAATACCTCAGTATTGTAGAAATTGAATTTTATAGCAAGTGGATTGGCTAACGTGAGCACTGAGTATCTTCTGTTTTCTGTGATCTCTGCCTGCAAATGGGCACTTAGGATATTACTAGGCTTGTGTTTAAGTTTTGTGCTTGTCAAGTATTAGTTGTTGTAAGTTGCCCAGATTCATATAAAAATCATAATAAATAAATAATAAAGTTGTTTATTATTTACTTATCCTCTGTTCTCACTGGGCTCCATTGGAATCTTTGCACTAAGATCAGCCTGCTCCAGACTTAAGGGATGTGTATTGACTGAAGATATGAAATATGCATTTATTATGTAAATGATTCTATATGTATATAATTTTTATGATTATAATTCTAAAGCAGTCCAAAATGCTGAGAGCCCTTTTCCTGAATAGAAAGTCCGGATATCATTGAATAAATAAAATAATAATTAAGATTTTGCCCCCTTTCCATCCAGAAGTGATAGCTAATTGTCCTTAGAATTGTCATCATCAGGGCATCTAGGCAAGAAGCATAATACTGATTTTAAAGGTTACAAGAAAATTAAAACGCAGGAAGAAAAAAAGCATATTTTCTTACCTCTACCAAGTAAGTTTAATAATAAAAGGGAAGAAAGAATAAGAATGCCTACAAATACTGTGTATGGGTGGGGGGGGGAGGCAGGTAGGATATCTAAACCAGACACATGTCATTCATCATGATGGTTCAGCCTCTTCCAAAATGAAATACTAGAAGTAGCTGGACATTGAGCAAAGTGCTTAGGTTCACTGACACCAAGTGGCAATTTATGCTCATTGCAATAAGCACAAATTTGAAAGGGGAGGAAGTAAGGCAGAGTCTGAGGGTTTGCTTAACTGGGCTAACAGGGGTATAAATTAGGGCTACAAAAATATCCTGCAGTCATTAGATGATTGTGGCTGTCTGATCAAGGAGGAAAGCATTATATCTGACTGGGTTACTATTTTAGTAGTTAATTGTATGAGGAAATAGCCAATAGGCAGCAACTTCATAAATCAAAAACAGGAATGCAGTGGTCTTCAAAAGTGGTTGAACTGCATCTCTTCATCAATTCCAGGCATAATTACTAAAGCTCAGGCTAAATGGGGCTTTAGTTTAAGAATGCGTGAAAAGCCACAGGATCTGATTCCACCTAATAAGACAACATTACATTTCTTTTCAAACATAAGACTTGTTGAGTTAAATGGAACTTACTCCTAAGTAACTGAATATAAGAGCAATGGGGAAAGTGCTGTTGTTATAAGGTTATGTGCAGAAGCTAAGCTTTTTGCAGCTCTTATGTTCAAAATGCAAAGCACAGCCTATCATTTGAAAGTAGAAACACTGTAGAAATGTACTGCATATGCTGAAAAACAGGCTTAGAAGAGCTGAGCTGATCAAACTCCCTTCTAAACATTTGAAATCTTGGATTTCCTGTCCCTGCCCCTGTGTGATCTTTCCCTTCCACTTTGTGTCCTCACACTACCATTGCAATTCTCAGCTATGCCCATTTGCCAATTTTAATAAAATATGTTAGCCTGAAAAAGTTCTATCAAATTCCTTCTGATTTTTGATGTCAGAGATAGCAGGCTAGGGTTGTAAAGTTATGCTACTTTTTTGAAATAAGTCCAGTCCAGACTGAGTTCTTTTAGAAAGTATGCATAGCATAGGAAATCTTTAACTGAAAACAACTGTTTATAGATTAGAGTGTGAATCTCTTTTAGCTTAGGACATAAAAATGGCAAATACTCTGCATGAAGAAATCTTGAGCCCAACACAATACTTGTGACTACGTTGATGTTAGGGATACTCAGCTCCCAGTTGTTGATGGATTGCAATAGTAGATTCTTCCACTCAGACCACACTTCTGCTTTGGAGGTAACAACTAGGGAATTCAGATTACACAGTTTGATGAGCTGTGAGACCCCAGGGAGAGAAAGGCATCTTGTCACTGAAGAGTGTCGAACAGTGCAGTGGGATTTGATGCAAGCTTCCCAAGCCAGTCCTTTTGGAGATGTGGGATGGAGAAGCAGGGAACTCCCAAACCTCCATCTTTGATGTTGGACTGGAAGTATCCCAAGGGAGCATCTGCTGGGAAACAGTATCAAAGACCTTGGCAGCATCTGGGAAGAGCATGGTAGAAAGCACTCAACTGATGTGGACCCTTTGGAAGATGGAGTGGAACAAAGTTGTCACCTCAAGAAAGCTGCCTTAAGGAGGAGAGTGTGAGTGTATCACAGAGTCACCTAGCCAGGATCTTATGGAGGATGCCAGGGATAATAGATGCAATCAAGATAGGCTGGTAATTGCCTGGAATCAATGGATTCTCCTTCTCCAGCAAAAACGCCACCCAAGGGCAGGCCAGATGTTGAGTTGGGCCGCCATAAAGAGGTTGAAGTAGGTTGTTAGCAAAGGCTGGTGCCAGGTCAGGATGTCTGAAGTAGGAATTCGGCTATGCCTAGTTGATTCTGCTGGGAGTGTTGAAGACTGACAACCAGTAGGTCCATCTCTGGTGGAACAGGAGAGGGACCACAATACACTGTTCCTGAAGTGCCCAGATAGCATGGTGGAAGCATCATTTTTTCTCCAGAGGTTATGTACATGCTTTGTTCTGCAGATGGATTTGTTGCTCCACAGTTGGCTGGCGGCCTTGGGCTGTACACTGGATGGCTTCCATCCATGGGGAAAGCATCACTGGGCATGTTCTTGCAGATCTGCTCAGTGATGCAGGCTAACCTCACTGAAGGGCAGTGGCAATCAGGATCAAGGTGTCAGCTGCCGTTTTCAATTCAAGGCAAAGTCTAAGAGAGAGCACTTGAACCGCAGAAAAGGCCTGTAGTGCTAAGGCTCTCTTGTACAGTAAATGATTGATTGATATTGCGGGAGCAGAGAGGGTATAGCTTTTTATTTTTATACTAGCTGTACCTGGCCACGCGTTGCTGTGGCTCAGTCTGGTTAAATGGAAAAGAAAGAAAAGAGAAAGCGCACGTTTCTAATATGTTTAATTTCACAATGCTTGTGGGTATACAATATTTTTTGTTGTTCCATTGTCTAGCGTGTGTTGCTTTTACGTCCAACAGATGGCGCTGTTTTTCATTTTTACCTGTCACAGGTGTGACACCTATATAATATAGGTACATAAAAACACGCGCGTATTCGAATGCAACGTTGTGTCAAAATTTCAAAGCAATCGGTGAAGAACTTTCGGAGATTTAAGATTTTGAACAAACGAACATTTACATTTTTATTTATATATAAAAATAAATAAATAAAATATAAATAATATATAAATATAAATATATAAATATAAAATGTATAAATAATAATAATAGAAATATAATATAGATATAGACTGATTGAGTTTTTATCTTCGTAAGCCATCCAGAGTCACTGAAAGTGAGTTGGGCAGCCATATAATTTTTAATCAATTAATTAATCAAGCAAGCAAGCTACCTCTACTGTTGCCCCTTAAGAGCCGGACTGTCACAGAATTAGAAAACGATTTTTTTGGGGTGTTTTCTTTGTCCGCACAGCAACCTCCTCCATGCTTCGACACTCTCCTCTTGCTCCTCCTCCTGGGCTGAGCCTCCCAGCGTCCTGCCACGCCCCACCGGCACGTCTCCTCGGCTGCTGCTGCGGGCCTCCGGATTCCGCTCGCCATGGCTTCCCGGGACGCAGCGACCGCTTGCAACGCCGACTCCTTCCGGCTGCAGCATCTGCACTTGGCTCTGCGCGTCGATTTCGAACCGGCGGGTTCCGGGCATTTGCGAGGCTCGGTGAGGCTGGAGTTGACATGCCTGCGGGACCAAGTGAAGGAGATCGTCTTGGACTCGCATGCCAGCGTGGAGGTGGAAAGCGCTGGTCTGGCGCCGCCGAAGAGCGGGAAAGAAAAAGGCCAAGAGCCGGGAGCGCTGCGCCCCGTCTCTTTCGAGAACCGCCCGTTCGCCAGTTACGGCTCCGCGCTGCACGTCTCCCTGCCTGAACCTCTGACACGCGGTGACGCGGTAGTGCTAGAGATCGCCTATCGGGCCGGAGGGGGTCCCGGGGTGAGTGACTGGGGCGGACGGCGCGACCGGACAGCGGGTTGGCGTTGAGGAGCTTCCCCCCCTTTTCGTCCGGTTTTTTTCGCTTCTCTAGTGAGCAAGGCTCGATCTCGCCTTTTGACTCTTTAACAGCGTTGCCCGTAGAGCTGCTGCATTATGGCTCTGTAGTGAAAAAAGGCACTCTGCACATGCTCACAATTCCCAGTGAATAAGTGTTTTCACTGTTTATTAGAAAAACGGGGAGTTAATTCCTAAGCTTAAATATGCCACCCTGGCTTGCCATTATGAATTAATAGGTGGCAAAACTTAGCTGACTTTAGCTGGCCTTGGGTAAAGTAAGCATGCTCAGACTTGGTTAGTACAAGGCTGAGACACCACTAAGAAATCCCAGAATTGTAGATTAGAACAGAGTCCAAAGTTGTCTTGGAAGGAAACAAAGCAAACAACTCTTGTTCTGCTGCCAAGAAATAATATGGGGATCATATTATCGGCTCAGTTTAAGGGAGACCTTTATCTTTCCTATAGTGCTGTCATTATGGTATTAACCCTGAGTGCCTTTCATCTTCTTAATATTTGCTTCTCTCGTTATAATAATAAATCTTTATTGATTAGCCCTTGGGCCATATCAAAGTGCAAAGTTCCAGCAACAAATCATTACCAAAGTCTGATAAAAGCAATTTAAAATAAAATTTGATAAAATACAGTTTAAAATGGACCGCTTCTCTCATTATCCTGATGCTGTGATGTGATTTCAGTTGTTTGCCAAAGAAGGGGGAGAGGCAGCACAAACTTTTTGCCCTTTTTATCTCTGTGTGAATTATCATCCTTTCCTTTGATCTGTTGCCCTGCTCTCACTTGGGAGCTTTTCTAACTGCCATTCCCCTTCCTTCCTTTGACACACTGGCTGGGAATGATAGGAGATGTAGTCCAACCCATGGAGAGGAAGAGTGAATCAGACCTGCAGCAAAAACTAAGGCAGCCTTCCCTTGTGTGCTCTTTTTACTTAACCTCTGCCTCCTCCATTTTTGCTGGGAGCAAAATAAGCTTGGCACTTCCTGTCCTATTTAGGGAAAACTCCAAAGCAAAAATTAAAATGGCCCAGGGCAGTGCAGTTTCTGTAAATAAAGTGGGACTGCAGTACAGATGAGTGCAAATTTATGTTGGCTGACTTAATCTGTACTGATTGTGATGGTGTATGCGTGAGCAAATTGGTATCCATATCTCTACCCATGATGCAATTTTGAATTGACTCCCATTATGGAGATTTTTGCTATCTAACTTTATATAATGCATCATTAAACTTTGGAATTTGCTACCTTGAGATGTGCTGATTACCAGTTTGGCTGACTTCCTGTGAGAATAGACTGCTAGACTATAGGTAGTCCTTGAATAATGACCATTCATTCAGTGACCATTCAGAGTTACAGTGGTGCTGAACAAAGGGACTTGTAAATGTCCTTGAAGTTCCAGCCGTTGCAGAACAAAGTTCAAGTCCTTGGCAATCAGCTTACTGATCAGTTTGCTTACAGCGTCCCATGTAATCCCTATTTGCAACCTTCCCTGCTGGCTTCCCACAAATAAAATCAATGGGGTAGCCAGCAGGAAAGTCACTCAGATAAGTCTCCCCCACCCCTGGCTGTCCCAAAGGTGTTTTTTTTTCAAAAGGCAACTGGACTTTCTTGTTTTCTTTGAAAACATTTCTCATCCAAGAAGCTTCTTCAGTTCTTAGCATCTTTGGGACAACCATGATCTGGATATTGAGAATCTCCATAGATCCTCGGCCTTTCTTTGCTTACACATACCATGTCCTCCTTCCCACCTTCTCTCACATTTTCCCCAAGCCCTCTCCCCAGTGTCACTGTGCTCCCACACATACACACATCCCATGTGCTGTTTCCCTGGCCTTATTGAGCTTGCACTCCACTCCACTCCACTCCACACACTCACCTCCCCCCAACTCCTAAGGCCTTCCACATAACTTGGCACCTCATACTCTTTACCTGGGACCCCTTCTGCTTCCTGCTTAACAACCCAGTCTGTCTGGATTTACTACAAACAACCAAGACTGCCTGGATTGCTCATGATGTGACATGAGCTGTCGTTCATGTCACATCATGCTTTATGACCACATTTCTTATGACAGGCAATTCTGGTCCCAACTGCAGCCTTAACTCTTAAGACTATCTAAAGATGGGCCAGGGGTCTGATCTAGCAAGGCACTGCTTCTGTTCTTATGTCTCCCATCCCAGTCACTGTATTTATACTTCATTTGGTAATTTGGGGGCCAGATGCTTTAATGTTGCTAATATTAAGAACAAACCCTAGATTTTGTTTGGGCAAAGCTCATACTGATATATGTTTCAGTTTTAAAACTATCAGTTACAGCTGCATTATAGATTTACTCATCTGTAAGAAAAGAAAAAAATCTTTTCCTTAGCCTTTCTTAAACCTGACACCTCTAATCTTTGTAATATTGATTTGCTTTAATATGCTTTGTGGAAATAAATTGAGAACCAGGTGAGCTCAGGTGATCAATTCTGTTAGAAATAGTTCACAGCAGCCGTTCTGGAAAGCTAAAGATTTGGATTACACAACTAAAAGATTTGAGTATGTGAAGAATCCTTATTTCTAAGTCCAGATGAGTCTGAACTATTTTAGTTTTCGTTGACATTTATGTCAATGAAATTTGTCTGTCTGTCTGTCTGTCTGTCTGTCTGTCTGTCTGTCTGTCTGTCTGTCTGTCTGTCTGTCTGTCTGTCTGTCTGTCTGTCTGTCTGTCTATCTATCTATCTATCTATCTATCTATCTATCTATCTATCTCATATTTATAAGCCACCTATCTCACAGACTCTGGGCAATAAAGCCATTAAAACAATCACAAAAATATTCTAAAATTAAAACAAATATTATTTTAAAAAATCCTCAGAATGGTAGGAAGGGCACTGATGTTACAATTTATTCTTCTCGTTAAATCCCATTTCTGGGGGACCTCCAAGCCCCTTGGCAATCAGATTTTAAGGGATTTCTCAAAGGACATCAAGAAAGGGACCAGTCTCACAAGGCGGGCACCAGGGCAGTCAAAGACCCATCTCTTGGGTTCTACCAAATATAATTCCTTAGCAGATGGACTTGGAGCATGTCTCTTCTGCTGGACCTGACTGGATGGGTGGAAGTAATCAGGAAGAGGCAATACCTCCAATAATTTTCAGCTTACACAAGCATCAGGTGGAGAGTAATATCAAAATGATCCTTGCTTTGGCAAAGAGGTGGCTGTGTCTAAATGAAGATTTGTTTGTTCTTTGGAAAGGTTGGTAGAAATCAGAGTAGCATCAAGAGAGCCTGATAGTTTGGTCCTATGCCCACTTTTGTAGATTTTCTGTTTGTATTCTCATCAAACTGCCCAGAAGGGAAGGCTGGTTTGTTTTTTTTTACACCTCTGGCTTTCCTGTGCTCCACTGGTCCATTTCCCCCGAATTTCATTCTCTAACTTCTAAGAAGGCAGACTCTGCTCACTTTCTCATTGTTCATGGAAATCTGTTTTTGTTTTTCTGGCAGGTATGTTGGCTTACGCCAGAACAGACTGCAGGAAAAAAGAAGCCCTACATGTACACTCAAGGCCAAGCTGTTCTAAATAGGTCTGTTTTCCCCTGCTTTGACACTCCTGCAGTTAAAAGTTCATATTCAGCTATTATAAAGGTAAGGAGCTCCCTAACTATACAGGTGGAGAGTGTGCTTAAACCCATAGTTAAGTGTGTTTTAAACCTAGAATTCATTACAGGAGAGATTACAACACTTTTTTAAAAATGCTATCTCTCACTTTTTCCCAACAAGGTGGCATCCATAGGGCTTTCAAAGCCTGAGGTCATGCACCATATTACCCTGTTTCACCTTGTTTGCTTTGAATATGCCCCAATAGCTGAGTTATACAAGGCAAAACCGAGCAAACAAGACTGGAATGATAACTATTTTTCAAAGGTATATTTTCTACTATGTACCTCCCATGGTATAGACCAGTGGTGGCGAACCTATGGCACGCATGCCAGAGGTGGCACGCAGAGCCCTCTCTGTGGGCACGCGAGCCATCACCCAGCCCCGCCTTCCCCCGTGAACCCTCCTCACCAGCAGCCCCCCCAGAGGAGAGTTGCCCCTGGGCGCGGCCCGCACAGAGCAGTGCAGAGCCAAGGATATGGCAGCCGGGCAGCAGGGACAAGACTCAGCCCTTGTGCACAGATGATGCTGTGGGGCACAGGTGGAGGGCATGGCTGCCATGGCACTGCAGGGCTGCTTGTGTGATCTGCTGCGGCAGGCCGTGGAAGCAGTAGGTGGCCCTGCGGGTGAGTGGGGTGGGAGGCAGAGCGGAGGCAGGGTGGATGGAACGGGTGGGGTGGAGTGGGTGGGGCGGGTGTGGGCGGGGGGGTTTGGGGCACTTGGTGTCTAAAAAGTTTGCCATCACTGGTATAGATCATAAATAATATCAATTTTGTTTTCCAAAGCTGGTGTGAACTCATCCAACTGCCACAGTTTTCACTTTCCTTTTGCATAACTGTTGCTTCTTGAACCTTCAGTTGCAAGCTTCTTTCCAAAAGGAGGACTTTTGATTTTGAGAGATGGGGGTTCTGCTGGAGGTCAGCTCCTATACATTGTACACATTGCTATGTATCCTGTCATCTACACAGTGATATTTTACTTGTGTAGACCTCCTAAAAAGCATTTGTGTATTCTGTCCATTTGTAGAGAAAAAAATCCTCACTCCTTCTTTTCATTGAGAAGAAAATGAAAAAGGTTAACCCTTCTTCCCAAAGCCATACTAGGCATGCTTTTTTTCTGCCACTCAGCCAGTTTTTCTTTTTTCTTTTTCTAGGTCCCTGAGGGCTTCACTGCTGTGATGAGTGCAATTACCAGGGAGAAGCAGAAGGGAAACACTTTCCTCTTTGAGATGCCTCATCCTATCCCTTCTTATTTGGTGGCCCTGGCCGTTGGGGACATTGTTTCAGCAAAAGTGGGACCAAGGTAAAAGGCAAATATACCTCTCATCTTAATCCAAGAGGGATAATCAAGGCCACTCTTTCTCCAGTTGGAAAAGGAATCTAGCTTCCTTTGAGAGTGGTAGATAGTTGAGTGAATGCTCTTCTTGCAATCTGGGGAGTGTGTGATTGAAGAATTTCTTATCAGGGGGGAGTGGTGGAGCACAGGGAGAAGTCCTTATACCACCCACTGGCCTTGTCTCTCAAAGTGGCTTCTTACTCCACGCCTCTCTAACAGGTCTGGATAGTCCTTCAGATTCGATTCTGAAAAAGAGTGGCAAAGCTTACGGGGGCACAAATGCAGCTCCTGAGTGCAGCTATTTAAAGCAGCCTCATATTTTCCCAGGACCATGTGGCAACAGCAATATAATCTTGCCCTTCAGCATTATTCAGTACGAGTCTTTTTAACTAGTGAGGAGTGCATGTGGTAGTGAGGAGTGCATGTGTGCACAAGCTGAGATTTGCATCAGGTCTTGAATATGATCAGCCAGCCCTTAAGAAGAATAAATAATTGTTTTCTGCTTCTAAACAAAAAGCCATGTTGCACTTTGCTTATTTCTGCCTGACGCTGAAATTTTGCTCCATAGACATCCAAGGGTACACAATAATGTGTGTTGTGCCTCCCTGCTTACAGGGTTAGGAATATTTTCTTCCCTCTTAGGCTGACCTCCCTGCCATTTTTGCTTTTCCCCCAGGAGTCACATCTGGGCTGAGCCCTCCATGATTGAAGCTGCTAGGGAAGAGTTTGAAGGTGTGATTGAAAAATTTCTTACCGCTGGAGAGAAGATTTTTGGGCCATACGTATGGGAAAGGTACCCCTTTCATTACTGAACCTGTTTCAAAAAGGAAAGCATTCTCAGGAAAGCATCCATTTTCCCAAAGAGAATCACAGACAGAGATACATCCGGTTTTTCACCAAAAAAGGGAAGATGGGGGCAATTGGGGTGGCCTGCATCCCCAAGTCTGGTGTTGGGGCAGCACTTGAAGAGGTGTGGATTTCAGTTCCCAGAGTTCCCCGGCTTAGTCGTCCCAACACATATCTAGAATACATGAATCTGGAAAAGATGCATACCCTGTATGTCCATCTCTTGAATCAAATTTCTTGTTTCATCTGCTTTTTAAGGAAAAAAAAAAGCTTTGCATCACTCAGAGATCCTCACATAACACTCAGTTGTAGCACAGTTGCCAGAAAAGTTGTGTTTTGTGTAGGTATGCCTACACAAAAGTGTAGGTATGCCAAAACCTTTTTGCCATCGATTCTGAAATGCTGCATACTTCTACCTCAATATAAATCTCCGGCCCAAACATGCTTAATGCAGTAACACTGGATAAAGACCCAGAGAGTTGATGAGAGAAGGAGAATTTTATAAAGGCAGTAAATTTTATAAAGTCATTTCTCATGTAAGAAAATGGGACTGGTGCAACCATCAGAAGCTTAGCAAGGTGAAAATGCTTGAGAAGTCTGGTATATATTTGTTTTAAATTTGGATTTTGCTAGATAACCTCAACATTGCAATGTTATATATAAGAACATATTATAATATTATCCTCCTGACTAATGCTGTTTGCTTCTGATAGATATGATGTCCTGTTTATGCCACCTTCATTCCCATTTGGGGGAATGGAAAACCCCTGTATCACCTTTGCGACACCCTGCCTATTGGCTGGTGATGGCTCCCTGGCAGATGTGATCATCCATGAAATCTCACATAGTTGGTTTGGAAATCTGGTCACCAATGCCCATTGGGGGGAATTCTGGCTGAACGAGGGCTTCACCATGTATGCCCAAAGGAGGATTTCTACAGCACTCTATGGTGAGTGGTCGATAATCAGTGCCCAGGGCGAGGGTATAGTTCAGCCTTCTTTATCCTGGCAACCTCCAGGTATGTTTGGCTGGCAGCTCCCAGATATCTAAATTCTGTTTTCAGTATTAAATAGAGGAATGTTATCAAGTTGTATCTAAGTGATTCAATTGCCTAAAAGAACTATGCTGTATACCTCTTAAATGCACCCAATGGACTTTTAGACATCTAACTTGAGGACTGGCAAGCTGAATTAGTTTATGGTTCAATATATGCCTCCGTTGAGAGAAGGGGGTTCAGGGTTTTTGTTTTTATTGCATTCCCAATAGGATTTACCTTGCCTGGCAAAGTTGTGCCAGTGCATTCTTGTGTCCCTGTGGCTGCTCTCCTAATGACCATGTCATAACTATGGTTGACGGTTGATTCCAGAGCACCAAGGTGGCAGGTTGGGTTTTATTGCTTGGCAGTTGCCAGAGGCTTCATAATCTAGTTGTTCCTGTTGATTTCCCCTAAAATCAGGTGCTGCTTATACTTCCCTGGAAGCTGCTATCGGGAGAGCTTTGCTTCGTCAGCACATGGACAATGTTGGGGAAGATCATCCTCTCAATAAGCTCAGGGTGCAAATCGAACCAGGTCTGTGTTGATCTAAAGCAGTGTTTTTCAAACTTGGCAACTTTAATATGTGTGAACTACAACACCCACGATTCCTGTATTGACTTCAACTCCCAGAAGTCATAGCTTCCATAGTTAACTCTGGAGTGTACACCTTTGTGACTCATCCTTCTAGCAGCTAGCCAGCCCTTTGTGTCGTATTCATCTCACTTCCAAGGGGACCAGTTGTGGAATATTAACTGAGAGATCATTCTTAGCACTTGCCCTGCTGAGTTCCGTATTTTATTATTTCTAGTGAAGTTATTCTTCCCACTTTAAAAATATAATTGTATATTTGTTCCTTTCAGGTGTTGATCCTGAAGATACATATAATGAAACTCCTTATGAAAAGGGCTACTGTTTTGTCTCATACCTTGCCCATCTTGTGGGGGATCAGCCTAAGTTTGATGCTTTTCTGCAGGTACTGTATGTTAGCCTGGAATTTGTTTGTACTTTGCAGATGTCTCAGTGTGTATTTTCAAGGTATGCTGCTTTGTATCGTGTTTAGAAAGATGCATACAGTCCTGATCTTTGTATCTCATCATATATTCTGATTTAGAATATTGTACATCAGGTAAAGATACAGAACTGTAGAGAGGATGAAACTTTGCTGGAGATACATGATTGTAGTGCCAGAAAATAGTGTAGTGTAGAAAGTAGTGTAGAAAATTATGCATGATAAAGGGATTTTTTTTTACCTTTTTTGGCATGACAATGAGTGGTCTCATTATTCTCCCCTATTGAAGGGAGATAAAAGGCATTGTTCACTATGAGATTTGCAGTCACATCAATGGTTACCAATCTGATGGCTTTAAAAGGAAATTAGACAGGTCCAAGTTCAATTTGTCTCTTAGTATCAGTTGCTGAGGAAAATGGGTAAGAAGGTGAGTGCTATGAGGTTCATGTTCTGTGGTAGGAATTTCTTAAGCATCTCTTTACAAACAGACACACACACACACACACACACTTCTGAAGAGAATGTTGGAATACACAGATCTGTGCTCTGATTCAGCATATCTATTTAAATTCTTTTCTGTCTGAACCAACAGCTTTTGGAGCATGGTTGTAACATGCCATTCAGTTAAAAGCATGTTCCCAGGCAAATCAGAGTTCTTTTTGCTGTTATAATTTGAATTGAAGCAAGAAGACTCCAAACCTGAAGATGTTACAGGAGCAGGTTAATTTTTTTTGTGCTGCCTCTCCAGGGAAAGGCATAATAATTGGCTGCATAAATAGCACATAGGAAGTCTTCAGTGTTACCAGATTTTCAAGAAATGGCAAGCTAATAAAGTGAGCAAGTATGTCTTCCAGATGACGTGAAAAGTTGGCTTTTCAAGTTTTCAAGCTTTGGGAAATTGAAAAGGTGATCGAGTTTGTTTTAAAGTTGAGATACATAGTTCTCACACTAAAACCTAAGAGGTGGAAGTAAGCTGAACTTGAATTAGGCAGGGTAGTTTTATATGCAAAGAAGGTTTCTAAGACATTGATAAAGAAGGGCTGAAAAGCCAGAGATGAACCAGCAGAATTCAACATAATTCAAGCCAGTTTCTTTTTGTGGCAGGCTTACGTGAACCAGTTCAAATTTCAGAGCATCACAGCAAATGACGCCCTTGAATTCTACTTGAAATATTTCCCAGAATTGAAGAAGCAAGGGGTGGACACCATTCCAGGTTAGCAAAGATATTATAGATTAAAAAATCATTCAGAATTGCCACAAGGCTTTGGCCAGCAGAAATTTTTCAGTTTTTCCTAGCTCCAGGTAGCAATTCCTTCCAGAGTCCTCTGGACCATTTTGAATTCAATGACCTCCATGTTTTCCTGTCTCCTGTGGCCAGAATAATTCAATTCTGCTGAGTTATTCTACTCCTTTGCCCTCAGCTCCCAATTTGGTTGTATTTTTATTGGAGAGTGTGTGCCCGTTCCCATAAGCTAAAAATAGCAAATGCTGTCTTTAAAGGTTCTGCCTGACAGCAGTTCAGGTCAGAATAAAGAAGTCAGTTGGATAACATCCTGCCTTAGTTCCTGGAAAAAGGCCTTGTGGCAATACTGCTGAACTCAGCAGCATCTGTGTAGTGAACACTCATAGAAAGTGCTCTTATAATAAGTCAAACAATTGCTCTTTGCCAGCAGCAATTACAAGGCTGGAGGGAGGAATAATTTTTAGACATTATGCATGAAGGATTATTCTGCAAATTATCTGTACAGTTGCAGGTGATCTGCTACCATCATGTATAGAAAGCCTGCAGTGCAGAACATTGTCATTGTGCCAAATATTAAGTGTTTCTGATATCTGATGACAGGAACATTCTTAATCATACAAATATAGCCTTAGCCCTAAGAAGAGGTTAACAGGATGTTTTTAAACTTTGTTCTTTCCAACTCACTGTTTCTCACAAATTATTTATTTGGTTTAAAACTTCCCCAAAGTGCTTACGCAAAGTTGGAAATTATGAAAATTGAAATCTTATACATTTGAGGAAGGCGGTTGAAGAGAACATGCTTAAGGAAATGTGTACATTGCATACAAACAAAGCCCCAATGCCCATTTCTTTCTAAATTAAAATAACCTTGGAGAACATGTTTAATTAGGAAACATTAGGTAGGAGAGCCTTTTAAGTGCCTATTAGATCCTCTCTTTTTCTGCTTCAAGTTTATTCTTGCATTAAAGCAATGAGTAAGGAGGTGGTATGAACAAAATGTCATGAGGGGAATATATTCTACCAAACTACATTGCTTCTTGTCTAAGGAGAAATACACCTTTCCAAAAATGCTATTATTTATAAAAACATTGGTCATTGGCAATCTGCTAAGCATATTTGCTTCTATTGCCACCTTGAATGTTTCATCAATAGAATGCACAGATCACGAATCTGTGTAATGAAGCATGCATCTTGCCCAAAGACGAGATATCAGGAAGCACATTTATTTAGGGAATCTATCTTTAATCTGTAGTAGACCACAGAAAATAGACTGGAATTTTAAAGCACCATCTAGAATGTTATTAACAAGTCTAGATCTATACGTGGCATGCCATTTATTCTTAAAAGAAGTCTAATCCTCGGGAGACAACTGATTCTCCTTAAGGATTTGATAATTTCAGTTTGAGTGAGAATCAAAAATAAATGAATATAGATTCATGTGAATATGTGAGTACATGGACACCAGCTGCTGCTATGATGCTTTGTTTGAAGATTGGAAGCAATGTGCCTGTTCTGTCATGACAGAGTATCCCAGAGGAACTAAAAGGCTGATATTGTGGATTGCTTGCTGGGACATGAATGACCATAGTGGTTTTTATTTTTTTTTGTTATGTGCTAGTAAAAAAATATTTCTTGGGCACAGTTGGAAGAAGAACTGGGATAAGGTGTGTGATGTACTTCAAAAATTAAACTGTGTTACTGAAAGCTTTAGTAGCAATTACATTAATTACTGATACGGATTCCAATATCAATATCCAATAAGCAGATTTTTTTTCCCTTTCCCTTTCTTCCTATGGCAGGTTTTGAGTTTGACCGATGGCTGAATATACCTGGTTGGCCGCCGTACCTTCCTGATCTTTCACCTGGAGATGAGTTGATGAAGCCAGCAAATAAACTGGCAGAACTCTGGGCAGCTCCTGACCATGATATGGAGGCAATTAGAGTACTAGATATCTCTGAATGGAAGACCTACCAGCTGGCCTATTTCCTAGATAATATCTTGGAGAAATCTCCTCTGCCCAATGGTGAGACACCTTTTGCTAAAATGAAGGATTGACCACAGCTCTATAAGCTTTATGGAAGCTGACCTAATGGGGTGCAAGCGGATAGTTCCAGGAACTAGAGATTTCCTGGGTATGAGAGACTTTTAGGCCCAGAAAGATCCTGGAATTTGCCTTTCCTTTGACAGTTATTACAAAAAATAAAACAAAGTAGCATTCAAACAGGTAATCATGCTAGTTATTAGAAACACAAAAATCTTATGGCACTTGAAAAATCATTAGAAGCACTTGAAAAAAGCAGAAAGCATAGGTATATTGAGGAGATGAAATGGGAATCTGGAATGCATAATATACAATAAGTAATCTGACACACACACACACACACACACACACACACACACTATATATGTTAAGCAGAAGTGTTGCCCCTAGGCCACAGGCTCTTTCTCACTTTGTTAGCTACAAGAGACAGGGGAAGAGGATGAATGCTTTTTGAACACCCTGTCGGCCCCAAAAGACTTCTCTCCCCCATATTTGGGGCCGACAGGGTGTTCAAAAAGCATTCATATATATAGGGAGGGAATATCCCTCCCTATATATATAGGGAGGGAATATCCCTACGCCAGAGAAACAACAGGAGAAGGTTAATGAAAAGGGGAGGAGTGGGCATGAGGAGGATGAGAAGGAGGGAGTGATGAGAGTATGAGTGGTGAATGAGTTAGATAGTACCATGGGAAAGAAGGAAGAGAAGAAGAAGGTGAGATCGCAGGTAACTGGAAAGAGGAAAGGAGGTGGCAAACAGCAAGGCGATGCCCTGCATGGAGGGATGCCTCCTCCCCCCTCCCCTGACAAGCAAACTAGGCAAGAAAAGAAAAGGGGTGGGAAAGAGAAGGCTAGGAGCGC